TCAAACAACTAAGTGCTACCTCAAAGTTTGAAATGCTCTTAATTCTTAAGCATAGCATATCCATGATATAAACTAATCTTGGAACCCATAATCTCATAAGATGTGAATGCAAATTTAAACCCATCCATTTAGGATTGTTAAAAACAGTCTGAGGAATCCATTATGAAAAACTACTAGTAAAAGATTAGAGAATTTAGTTACCTTTTTCTCTTGGATCTCAGTGACGACATTCAGCAATCTGCGATATTGATCTCTGCCTTCAGGATACTGAACCATAGACTTAACCCTAGCAAGAGCTTTTTGCATCCTTTCTTCTGTTTGTTTCCTGCCTTCTTTCAGAAAATCATAGTCATCATCTTTTGAGGATTTTTCAGGTAAATTGGGAGCCTCAGTAAGTGCTTCTTTTTTAAATCCACGCAAACCACTTCCTTTTCTTCTCCACCGCAAGATCACCTTCTCCAGAATTCCTACACACCAGGTTATTTTCCTATAATTTTTTCTGACTTGGTGGCCTCTTACATGAGCCTTTCACCCAAAAAAAAAAAAAAAAAAGGAAGCTAAGGGTTAGATTCACATTAGGTCATAATAAAGGCTAATAAAAGAAGGAAGAGATTAAGAAGAGGCTGCCAAGCAAGGATCATAAACAAGATTTGATTAGAGCAGGAAATGCAATGTACCTGAATTTTGACAATTTTCTCACGGATTAACAGAAACTGTTTTCTACCCTTCCAACTACGGAATTTATTTTGTATGCGAATCGCAGCAGCATGCACGGGTTCATCTTTTTGTCCTGGCTTGTATGACTTAACTGCTAGAAGCGAAAGTGCACGCTCGTCTGACATTCCAAATTTATCATCACCATACTCTTTTAACTGCCTTTTTTGGAAAGATTGCACCCGGTAAACCTGAAAAATACGGGAAAAAGCTTGGGTAGCATTACGGACAGCAGCCAATGAGTCCTCTAGTGACAGGCCATCTGAGGTGTTGCCTAAGCTAAATGGAGTTGCAGTTCTTTCAGAAAATTCCTGCACCGCTTTTGCTCCATCTGCAGCATCACTGTCTTGGTTATCCAAATTAAGGGATGAAAGGTGGGCACTCAAAGAACACTCTGCAAGGAATCCAGCAATCCCTTTATGCCCATGGGCAGAGGCCAGGTCAGCAGGTGTTCTTCCTAAAGGATGTTTAGGTGATGGATCTGTCAATAATCCAGGAGCAGCACCCAATGAAATAAGGGAAGCCACAGCACGCTCTCTGTGGTGAAGGAAAGTTTATGTTAATAGAAGCAGTACATAACAGTTGAATGAGTCAGAAATAAATGAGCAAACAATTAAATTTAGCAAAAACACAAGAAACATAACATGATAAAGCAATTTTCTACTTCCATGAATCTGATATATATATATATATATATTTTTTGAGTAATTGCTAACCCATGGAACCATTTATCAGAAACTTCTCTTGAGTTTCTCTTACATAGATTGGTTTGTATTTCTACCCAAGAGCCACCTTAAGACTACAGTAGCTTTCTATTTTGTACTAAAGGACAAAAGGAAAACACACAAAAAAGGAAAAAGAGAGAAATAAGCATACAAGGTATAAGTATAGTTTAAAGAAACATACAAAAGAATTGTTAAGGTGCTTACCTGCCAAAAGATGCTGCCCAATGAAGTGCAGTCCATCCATTCACATCACGGAAATTAACACTTACACCAGAAATTATAGTAGGTTCAAAAGCCCAATCATAGCCAAGAGCAGCAGCAAAATGTAGTACACCTTGGCCACCCTCATCCAATACACTAGGGCCTTTACCACCTTCAGCTAATTTCTGCAAGAGCCACGCACACAGCTTTTCTTTCAGCTGCTTCTGACGCTCTCCCTCCTCTAATTTTTGTGAGGGATATTCTTCATCTGAACTAAACTTTAACATCTCATCCCATCCTAAAGTGTCCTCCTTAAGCAATAAATTGATTTTACTGCACAACTCGGATATATCATTGAAACTGCTGGTGTCTGAACTATTAGAACTAGAGCTTAAGGTCAATAATTTATCAAATCTCAAGAGGATATTTTCGCTGGTGTCACTGTAGTTATCATCAGAACTACTGACTCGGTATTCAAATTCTCGCACTTCACTACAAGCTAATCTATCGGAGCATGTGACATAGAAAGGAACCCAGCCAGCTTCATGTGTTGGAGTATAGCAACGAAGAACACAATCTGCTACGACATCTGCTGGAACCTCAACTTCCCCAAACATACATGACCATTTACAATTTTCTATTATATCTGGACTCTTCAAGAATCTTCCCTTGATTAGGACCTATTTAAGTCATTAAAGAAACTTTTTAAGGAAATAAAGAATGTAATACAAAGTAAAGCAAGAAGCATCTGCAAGGAAGTGTGCCTCAGTTGATATTATGAAAATAGATAATCCAATACTCAGTTGATATAATTGCATGTGTATCAATGTATATAGCTTACCTCGGTTTTTGACCCTACATATGTCCAATTTGGTGAGAAATCAACAATGCTAAAAAGTTGGTCCTGGGACAGGGAAGGACCCAGCATAAAGGTATTTGCTTTTCCTTCAGAGGGAATGCTGGATACATCAATTGCATTTTCATTCTCAACTGTTTCCCAGTCAGCCCCAGAACTGGACTGCATGTGTGACTCATCTACATCTGTGACATCTCCCAGTTCCTTACTCATCCAGCGGTTAAAACTGTCAAGCTTCTTTAAACCTTCTTCCGTTAAAGTACTATCAAACAAACGCTGCTTTAATGCAGAAGAGTAGATTGATTTTCCCTCCAAGTTCAAGTGGCCATCTGAATCAGGTGGAAGAACATGATCATGTTCTCCACTTAAAAGCCGAGTTTGGGAGTCATTTTTTATGGAATTATCAATCCACATATTTTGGTGCATCTGGGAGGATGAAAAGAAGTTAGTAAATTAAGGTAATTAACTTGTTCATCCAATCTAATAGTTAGATCATTTGCTGAATCAGAGTGCAACTTCTGGTCCACTGGCAACTTAGATAGATGTAAGGAAACAACATCAAAAACCTCTTTGGAAGGAAAATCGAAGCCTGAAATATAATAAAATTGCAAGCAGAAATTGTAGATAAATAGTCTAATTTAATGCATTTACATATTAGTGATGTTAATCACTTAGTACCTGACACTCTTCTTGCATCTGTGGCTGCTCCCCAAACTCCTGCTTTTTGAGAAAGTTGCTGATCAAAAGCTGACCCATGGTTTCAGGCTGTGTAGAGGATAATAATGCTTGGTATTGTATGGGTTCCATGCCATCGGTACAATTTCCCAAGATATCTTCCCAAGATGCCAAATCAAGGGGCTTCTGGGACTCATACGATAATACAGAATCATTGTCATATTTTCCCTTGCCTGCTTGAATGGAGGCCAAATCCATTTCAGGTTCAGTTAACAACTTCCCTTGAGAACTATCTGTTTTCAATAAACAATATCAATTGTTAAGAATCAGCAACTACTGAACAGCACAACTTCAACAAATAGAATGCCACCACTGTAAAAAGGAAAAACATAAACAACTAGTTTACTTGAATAAAACTGAGGAACATAAGGTTCAGAGGTTCCAGCCTCAAAGCTTTCCACAGAAGGCTGTTGTAGCTCATGAACAGAGTGGAATCCAGAAGTTGCTTGGGGATTATAAACTGCAATGAATTTAAAATTTATCAGTAAGAACAAGAAACAAAGCATCACATCTACCATTCTCAAAGCTATCTTATTCAAAATTACATAGGACAAGAAATTTATAACATTAGATACTTGGACATGCTGAAGCTAAAACAAATGCACCTGATTCAGCATCTTCATATTCCGATGCCTGTGCACTATTCAGGCTTGTTGTATCTGTAGTATGTGTAGTTGAAGGCAGTTGGCAATTGATTGGAGGAAATCTAGAAGATATAGAACTTTCCACCTCAGAATTGGGCCCTGTTTCTTGGGAATATGGAGAGACAGCTTCAGGCTCTCTAACACGATGAAAATTTGCTCTGTTTCCCTGATAAAGTTTCAGAAAATACAATAAAAGAATAAATAATATACATAAATAGGTTCAGCTTATTGAGAACAGTAGAAGACTGAAGGATATTAAAAGTTATGGATGCTGATCATCCATATCTGCAAAGACATTGGAGGTTTTAGAAATAATTTCAGATCAGTTCCCACCATGCTGTGTGGTTCAAGCACTAAGAATCCAAGAAACAAAAAGAGTCAATAATGCAGGAGAATGGAGGTAAAATATAGTTTTAATGCAGGCACATAAGCAAAACTTCAATTTCCCCATTAAAACAACTGTTGTCTCAACAGGAAGACCCAACTCTATCAGCAAGTACTGAGATGGTTCAGGTGGAACAAACAGAAAAGACAAAAAGAAGAGGGAGAGAGAAGAGAACCAGGTTTGAACAATTACAAGACATACAGCCCAAAGGCTGCTGCTGGCTAGACCAAGAAAAATGGAGTTAAGACATACACCAGGTAGGAATCAAGCAAGCAGCATTCCTAAATAGGATATGGCTCTGTTCTGTAAGGATTGTACCATACTAGCTATCTATCTATATACTAATATATATATATATATATATATTTCAGAACAAAGAGGTCAGAAGGAATTCTACAATATACCATATACCTTTCCATAAATATCTTGCAGCCATGTATTCCAATGACTGACGACACCAGAAACCAAAACAAAGTTTCATTAATTTGGTTTCTCAGGCAGAAGTTTTGCACACATAAGAATGAACGAAATGAATGCATGACCTTGTACCCTACAAGTTCATTACATGAAAGAATAACCAAATTATATTTTTTTAGGGCTGATGCCTATCACTCTTGGTAACTCTAGATATTGGTTAGCCGAAAAATATATTGGCCAGTCAAGTACCTAACCATTCTCTAAAGTTTAACATCTTTAAACTTTTAGTTTATCTGGACCCCTAGTAAAATATAAGCCATGTGATCCACCTAGGAAGTAGAAGTTATAAAAGTAGGAAAAAAATTATAATTTTCTCTGAAGATGGCTGACAGAATTAAATGGGATGGCATAAATCTTACCTTCACTTCGAGGTAGTGGACAAAAACAATGTGTGAGAGTTCCCTGCAAAATTTTTCATTTATGTCACAAAAGGAAGTTAGAGTCCAAAAACAATCTGATATTAGCAGTTGCCAAGTTAACACGCTGCTGACCAATATTTTGAATACTATGATATCCAATTTCTGGAAATAAGGGGAAAGCCCTATCACAATATAAGCATTCAGTTCAATTTATGCTTTGGTAATCAAAAAGAGTTGCCAAAATTTGACTCCTTGCAACAGCAGGTTTTTAGAAGTTCAGAAGAAAGGAATACTGATACATGATTCTAAATTTTGATTAAATCTGACAGTTAATTCTCAGTATTTGCAATAGACAAACCAAAATTCAAAAATGGTCACAATCTAGATTTATCATGTGAAAGGAAGGGGGTAGCAAGCCCTACTAAGGTTTTAAAGAACCATAGAATTATTTATATATTTATGCTCGTGATTATCTCAGCTAGTATATATGGAGTGGGAAGGAGGTACACCCTAGCCCCAAGACAAATCAGGGAGGTAAAAGAATGATGACTAGTCATGTGATTGTTAATAAAGAAGATGCTTATTCATATGGCAGCATATAATAAGTTTCAACTAAACCTGAGACACTGAGTATTCTCTTACCAACAAAATAAGCTTCTTCTTTTTTCATAATTTTTCCACAAGGCATGAAAATGAACACAGAATAAAGGAATTAAAATTTATAGACTCACTCTTCAAGCATCCAATAACTACGTCGTTGAAAATTTTCATTTTCTTCTCCATGGGCATAGTAGCAGTGCAGAACATCAACACTACCAACCTGAAAAGTTTTAACTTCTATCAGAATTCCCTATAAATTTAGAATAACAAAATGATGAGGCAAGAGAAAATGGTGGCATTAGTTAAATGTGTCTCAATCAATTTCAGAGTAATGTTTTTCTTGGTTAAAATAGAAAACTAAATGCAGCATCTTTGGTCCTTACCTTCAGCTTCTCATGAGCTTCCTTGACTGTCTTTCCATCTTTTTTCTTTCTCCAATTATGTCCATCCTTTCTAAAGTATCGTAGCACCTTCCGATCAAAAAGAAAAAGAGAACCACCTGAAAAAGTGAAGTGTATACAACACCAAGGTGTTAATGGAGGCACAATTTAACACTTAAGCATGCACATTTCCACACGTATATTTGTCAAATTCAGAACATTATTTAAGAAGAAGATAATCAAAACACAGAAACATTTATGCAAAGACCCACAACCATTATGATTTTTGTTATCCATAACCATAAGACATAAATTGTTGATGGAAGAATAAGCTTAACAGATTGCAACAAATATTATCCCCTGAAAGTTGTTGGAAACAAAAAGCTGGTTAATTTAAGGTCAAACATAGAACACAATTTTTTCCAATGTGTTGAAACTTCAAAAATACCAAGTAGCAGTAACTCAAATCGAAACAACAATTTAGAATATGAACAACACTCAACCATTCTAATCGCCTCCAAGAATGCATTTGCTGTCACACAAAACAGGGTTAAGGTTCATGTCTAACGCAAGTTATTGATATTACAAGAACAATAATCCTTACGTAGACTGAATAATGGTAGAAGCAAATTTAAGCAGGAAAAGCATACTTGGTGGTGCGTTCGGAGGTTCTGCAGAAATATGAAACTTGTTATAGTTTTGAAGAATTTCACATATTTCTGCTGGGCGTAGCCACCGGTTTTGTGCTTCTAAGAGTATCTGATCAACATCTGCAGCAACCAACCACACAAGACTAGCTTGATAAGTATGAAAATGATTTAAAATTAACAACCAGAAAAGGAAATCATAACCGAGTGCCTGAACAGAGATTAAAAATCTATCCCTAACACAATGGTAGTTGCCAGTGCAATCCCCTATCCATCAATGTTGAGAATAACTACTTAATCAGCATCATCACAAATATTATCCAGAAGTTAGGGAATTGCTTAAACAAAACCGGTTTTCCATTCCAAGGACTTGATGTCAGCATACACAGCACATTACACTTATTTGGCTAGTATCTTAAAAGTTCTCAACACATCCCAGCTCACTCAAACTCCAGCATACAAAGACCTTAAGAAGCACCTCAAAAATTCAAGGAAGCATAAAACTTCCACAAAACCAAAACTTCAAAACACAAACCAAATTCCTGCAAATTAAATTGTACAACCAACCTAAAAAAATCATGACTTCACTTTTCTGCTACACATCTAAGCTAAAAATCATGGAAAAGAAAC